TAAACAAGGGTTATTGACTTACAATTTGAATGTTGCACCTCACCATAATTTATCAAAATATGTAAAGTGCGCAAAATTCACTCCTTGAAAGTCAACCATCGAGGCTCACTTTTTCTAACATCTCAACTAGGTTGATTGAATACAGACTATGTTGGTTGAATAGAACATTCCCTTCCATCATTATTATGACTAACTCGAGTCTTCTAAATTGAACATGTGGTTGAAAAATAAAATAAGCAAAAACTTAAAGTCTCTTTTGCTACATAAGCTTGACATATATTGATCATTTTACATGAGACTTATTCTTTATAGTTCTTTTAAATTCTCCTATTTTCCTTTGAAATGGATACATTCATCTATAATGAACTAGTCCAAAGATTTGTGCTTCATGTGCTAAATGTATGGACAACTGCTAGGAGGAAAAAATGTCTCTAATTTGCACAAATCAATTAGGGGCTTTGAAACAACATCAAATAGCTCTCTAAATGTAATTGGAAGCAAACACTGCATGAAGACGTGGCAATCATGACTTTTCATGCCAACAAGTTTTTGTTATGCAACATTAACACACCTATTTAAATTAGAGGCATAACCATCTAGCATTCTTAACTCCTTCAATCATTGACAAAAAAACTTCTTCCGTGTAGAATTCAAAGCTTATTTGGCCTTTAGCCTTTGGTTTATAGAAACAACCATCTCTTATTTCTTGTAAATGTAAATCAAGTTGTGTTCAATAGCCAACTAAAGTCTGTCTTGCCTTGTCATTATCTTTAGTTCAATCTATATCCATTACAGTATTGATAATGTTATTGAAAATATTTTTCTCAATATATGTGACATCTAAACAACTATACACTAAATTGTCCTTTCAATATGGTAACTCTCAAAAAATACTTTCTTTGGTCTAATTATGGTATACCTCATAGCCTAACATTCACGCTACCTTTTTGACTTCTATTATTTTTGAGAAATCATTAATTTGAACCCATATTTGGCAGTCACATTGTCTAACTAAAGTCATATCTATTTCACCTATATGGATGTTCAACATCTAAGAACTTCTTGTGACAATCAAATTAAGAGTTATTATTTACTCTATATTTCAAAGTTGATACCTTAGTAACCTCCATGAGAATGGGGCATGCTAATTTGCCTTAGGTTATCCATTCAGATAGTATTCAAGAAAGCCCTCGTTATGAAATTTTGCTTTGTTGAAATGTTGTAAGAACACGCTGACACCATAACTCATCTAATTCATCAACTAAGAGTTGAAGATACACATCAATCTTAGCTTTTAGATTATCATAGCCAAGAATTATACATGTTAAGAATAGTTAAGATCTTTCATGCACATTTTAGAAAGAATTTTGTATGGCCTAACAACTATGGGAAAATAAGAATAAGATTTTCTACATTGGTTATTTAGAGTGAATTCATGTGAATAAAGTCTCAATCTAACATTTCAAAGGTCTAAGGAAAATGCAAGGTATTGTTAATTAAAATTTTTCCACATCTCACTATGTGATGGATGTGTCAACACAATATTAAACCTTTGATTTTCATTGTACCACCTCATACGAGAAGTCAAGTTCATTGATGCATAAAGTGTCTTGAGTCTTGGGATTACATGCAAGTAGCGTATTCTTTTTTAATAGACATCCTTATACCTCTCATTTTCACATTTCTTAGGGTTTAAAGCTACATTATTAACAAAACTTACATTCCATCAATGCAATATTGTTTTTATAATAGAGCATGCGACCTTTTAAACAATAGTCAAACTTTATTTCCTTCAACCCAAGTTAGAAACTAATATTTTAGGTTGATAAAAAAAAAATAGAATTACGTGAGGATTATGATTTAGCTCACTTATTAGTTCAACCCACTAATCAAAAGAACTTTAGCTTTGGTTTCCTTTCAAAATAAATGTTAATGTATGCACTAGAAGCCTATATGTTTTGAACATATATTTATATTATGTTTACTATTTAATAAAAGAGGTATTTCAAATTAATATTTCTTTTAGAATAATATATTAATGTCCTTAAATAGTAAATCTAGTGTTGTATAACATCAAGTAGATGACTTAATCATGAGATTCTATAAAGTACTATTCTTTAATGTCCCTAGTCAAGTATTGATATTAGGACAATATAATACATTGAGGCTAGTATGTGAGTGACTGATAATCAAGTCTTTACATAGGTGCACATTAAGAATAGTGGTCGCTGGATTAACGCACCATAAGAATGTTGCATAGATCGTTACATAATGTTATAAAAAATTCTCAATGTGATGATCGTTATCTATAGCAAGGTAATCATAAAGGTGATAATTAGGTATAGTAAAGATCATATGAAAGGATGTGATTGATGTGGAGATGATTTATCCCTCCTATGTAGCTTTAGTTATTCATGGTAAATAAAAGAACTAAAACAATCATAAATAAAGTCATAGTTAAAAAAAAAATAGCAAACTAGAATGTCCCTAAGGGTTAGGGATGAGATGAGTTCCTGATCTTCAAGTACGGTCACTTAAAGCTCTAAGTTCTACCAAGAATGTCATGAAATAGATGACTTAAAGGCATGGAATGGATGAGGTGGAAATAAAGTTAAAACAGCACATAAATAGGATAATAGATAAGATGCCTCATCGCTACCCTTACAGTCTTTTATTAATAGGATTTGAAAATCCTAAAATCTCTTCGTAAGTGGGCTTGCCACAGGTGAGCACAGCCATGCAAGGCCATAATAATGGCCATGCATGTGGTTGAAGCTCTCCTATGCTAGCTGTTAGGATCTAGGCATGCTAACTATAGCGAAACCCTATTTTTTAACCAATTTGGGCTCAAAACACTCAAAAATCTAATTGTGATCTTTTTATGTTAAACTGCATAATTAACATATAAATCAGCGTAAAATTCAATTAAAATAATGGTCATACATAAATAAATAAGCTATAAAAGTATGTTAGAATACAAGCTTATCAATGATCATTAGGATAATATCTAGTTAATAAAACTATCATTATTTTATAATCATTAGGTAGTATAATAATTGATAAGATTATTGATAATTATACTAGCATAATATATTAGAATTGAATTGGGTTATGTCTAGGTAGTTATGAGAGAAAACAAAAGCCTCATGTTTTCATCCATATAAATTTACTTTGTGATTTTATCATGTTTTGCTTTCTTATAAATTAATTTTAATATTTATTATTTTTAATTCAAATGTTTTCAATTACTGCATCCACTTAACGTTTAAAAAACAATAGTAGTAATTAGTATTTATAAACATAGTCTTTGTGAAAATAATATTAGAAGAGTTTAAAATGCATCTATGTGAAAATAATATTAGAAGAGTTTAAAATGCATCCTGTTGTTACAACCAATGAATACACTTGTAGGTTTACATAGGACTAGAATTTAAAAAAAAAAAAATGGTAGAGGCACAACCAAGTATGAAGAGGTAAATCATTAGGTTATTTTTAGTCTTTGTTTCCTTTGCATTATTTTTCTTTTTTGGCTATCTTCTAGCACTAAAAGGAGTAACTCCATGTCTTCATTAATTCTCTTAGTAGACAATACTTTATGTCTAGATGCATATATGCCTTTAATTATTATGAAAATTTTTCTTCAAAGTTTAGCTCATGAGTTTAATTTAGATATATTTTGTTTTAGGTAAAAGACAAAGGACAAAGTCATAGTCATGGACAGAAAAAAGTTATAGAAAAAAGATGCAAGAACTTATTTAAAAATTTTTAAATATATTTAAAAATTTATTTGTAAATATTAATTCTAAATAATGTAACATCGTTAACTCAGTATTTAATACAAAGAGAATTGATGAAATCTTAACTTTTTAATCATAAAATTTATGACAAAATGTACTATGTTTATAGAAAAAATATATATATTTAAGCCTTCATAAAAATATCTAAATGTAAAGGATAAGAAAGCATGGCGCCAAACTGATTAGAGCGCCTTCCTTTTCAACTATGTTCGTCAAATGTAATGATGGATCGTGGAAGTCCACGTCGAGTCAAACATTTTGTTTGTCATTCCTTTACCTTCCCGAGAAATCCTAATTAATTAGTATATTCTTTTAAATAATTTTTTAATTGATTATATTTTTACAAATTAAACTTTTTCTCTTATAAATTATTTGTTTTTTAAAAAATATTTTGCTTTTTCAAAAATTCATTGAACTATGAAAAATGTTTCAAAGATTGTCTTAACTATTAAAAGAGATGTGCATTCTACGCATACTTAACCGTACAATTTAACATATCTATAAATTAAATATTGTAAAATAAAAGTCATCAACAATTAACAAAGACAGGTCACGTATAAGGTGTCGGATCGGGAGCGTGACAACTACTGGTATCTGACAAAGTGCGAATAGGTAGTGTTAAAACCACTGTCCTGAAAACTAGATTAGATTGATATAAAGTTTATATATGAAGAGTTATTATTTAATTATTTATTATAATTTTTTTCTTTTTAATTTTCTTATAATTTATCTCAGTCTGTTATTATATATATTATATAACATTAAAGATATATGTTTCAATATTTCTGATTCGATCTCGGTGATATTAGTTCCCAAATGTATTTATTGTTCATATATGTGTGTTTAAGTACAGGCAATTCTTAGTTGCAATATGACCCTCTAATGCCAATTTACAACTTCATTATAACAATAACATTTTATTAGAAACTTCATTAAAATGATTAAAAATCTGATGAACCAAAAGCAAAACATCAAGGCGATAGTTTCATCGTACTACAATGTTAAAAATATTATTTTTGTCAGAGAAGAGTTTTTGCTAACTATTGTACAAAGATGTTTGATTGCCGGCCCAACATAAAAATTAACACCTTGACGTTTTCTTCTACCTCACATCAAATTTGTATATTTAAAGTGCCTTTGCATCTTTCGTCATTCAAATGAATCTCGCAAAGTATCAACATCCTTTTTGGAGAAACCAAGGCCATGCAAATGCAAACGCAACTAAACCTATTGTTCGGGCTTGCATTAGTAAATATAGGAGCAAGTGCAGCTAATATAGGCCTACCTGGTTGCCTAGACACATGTGGAAACGTTTCAATTCCATATCCATTCGGTGTAGGCAATTCTGAAACAGGTGAGAACTGTTTTTTGGAAGAGAAATTGAATCTGAAGTGTGAAAATGACACTTTACTTATAGGTAACATGCAAGTTATAGACATAACCCTTGAAGGGCATTTGGACATGTTCTTTTATGTCTCCCAACTTTGTTCTGACAAATCAAATGGAGATGCCAATGAGCCCTATCTTAGCACTCCTGGTTTCACAATTTCTAGTGAAGAAAACAAGTTCATAAGTGTCGGTTGTGAGAGTTATGGCTTTCTCAATAGCTTTTACAATGGTATAGGATATTCAACAGGGTGCTCAACAGGATGTACCAAGTTCCCAGCTGCTAATATTGTACCTTATGGACACTGTTCGGGGATAGGGTGTTGCCAAGTGGATATACCTCCGAACATGATGAATATAACTATAAAAGCACATAGATTTCGCACTCCAAGTGTCCGAAGCTGTAGCCATTCTTTTATTGCCAAACATGACTCCTATAAATTTAATGTTAGTCACTTAGAGAATATGCCCTTCACTATGCTCCCTATAGTTGTTGATTGGACTGTTGGAAACGAAGGATGTGAAGCTTTTCAGAATGGATCACTCAAGAGTGCATGCATGAACAATAGTTATTGTGATGACTTTGACATTAGTTATGGATACCGGTGCACATGCAATCCAGGCTATGATGGAAACCCTTACCATCCAAATGGTTGCCAAGGTAATGAATTTTATCAAACATTTTAATGATCACAGACTATTTGTTCATCTCTATCTATCGAGTTTTATAAGCTAACAATTTCATCGGTAAAATAAATGAATGAATAGAACTATAAACATGACTAAATTTAATTTTAGTTAGAAATATCTTTATTAGAGTTATTAAATGAATCAATCTTGACTAATTTAACATTAATTTAGATGAATTACGGCCAAAAAATTTGCAGGACTAAAAAACTTATTATATGAAAAGTCTATAGAGTTAAAAAAAACTCAATAGATTAGAGTTAATTCATAAGCCACCTACTTTTTCAAAAAATTATTTTAAGTCACCTTTTTATAAAATAATCATGTACTATCTTATTAAAAATATTTATTTTATATAACATATTTTTATTATAAACTTGTAAATAAATAAATTGCTTAAAAATAAATAAAAGAAATTAAATATTTATAATATTAAATATTTATAATGACTGTTGTTATTAAATAATAAAAAAATATAATAATTTATTATCAAATTAAATTACTGCTCTAATTTTTAATTATATTATTGATAATTATTAAATAATTGTAATATTTTTAAATAATTTTATAAATAAATTTTATCACATTTTAGAATATTATTTAAATATTAACTATAAAAATTTTCATGTTCTAAATTTTTATATTATTATTTATTTTTATAGAATTATTAAAAATATTAAAAAAATTATTTTTCTTTTTTGTGAGAATCATGTTTAGTTTGTGTATCAACGTCTCATGTTTAGTAAATAAATTCACAATAAATATAAAGTTGACGACAAAAAACGCAATACTAGCAAAATTAGTTGAGTCAACTAAATAAAATTTAATATGTTTAAAAAATTAAATAAATATTATTATTATAAAAATTATAGACATAAAATATTTTATATTTTAAAATTTATTAATGTAAAAAAAAAAAAAGAAACTTGTGATCGTTGTAAAAATTAATAAAAGTTTACAAATTTAACTTTGTCTTTCTAAATTTTTATCATATCATAAAACTTAATATAAAATTTTAAACAAATGCAATAGGTATATAATAATAACAATAATAATTAAATTAAAAAATTAAAAAATATTTAATTTTATTTTCTTTATTAATTTATTATTTTTAAAACCAACAAATATATATAAAATTAACTACACTATAGCATTAACATGACATTTAAAAGAAATGATAAATTAAAACACATAATTATATACTACAAATAAATTAATAAATTAAATAATGATTTAGTTTTCAATTTATACTTTTATTTATCTATTTATATAAATATTTATTAATTATTAAATTTTAAATATATATTAATAACTATATTTTTTTTAAAAAATAATCTACCTATATCTATGTAAAATTTATTAAAAATAATTATTTAAGGTTCTAGATATTTATAATTATATTAAAAATAATTATAGCATTTATAAACCTAAATTATAATGAATTCATAATTATTAAAACTCATAAAAAAATTAAAAAAAATACTAAAATTGATTGAATTTAATAAAAAAAGTTAACATTTAACCGTTCTATTTACTTTTATTTAAATTAATTATTGTTATTTTAATAACTTATTTTATAAAATATCATTTTATCATTTAATTAATGTATAGTTAAAAAATAATTATTAATTTTTAATTAAAATATAAATTATTGACATATTATATCAAACTTAAAAATTAAACAAATGCAAAAGCTAAATTATATTTTATTTTATATATTCTTCAATGTAAATTATATTTGATATATTTTTATGATAAATTTTTAATATAATTGAATAAATGATAATTTTAGTTTTAAAACAACTTTTATATTTAAAATATAATTTTTTGAAAACGGAGAAAATGGACTACTCAACTTATTTTGAGCAACATCAGTTTAGGCTTCGGGCTTTGAACCAAGTTTAAAAAACCTGTTTTTATTGGAACCATAAAATAGACAGATTGCTTGTGCATTCAGCGTGGAATTCAAACTAACGTATGTTACAAATATAGAAAAGTCGCTTTTACTAATTTTACGCCTGTTTATTATGTTTTATTCGTCGTAATGCCGATCTAAACTAACACACAGATAAACCAGACCAACCTTTGATAAAATAATAACAGACCAAGCCAAATCTAATGAAAGAAAAGCTTGAATAGGTTTAGCCAAAAAAGTTAAAAATTCATTAAAGTAAATCTTACATTTTAGCATGCCTAATCAAGCAAAAGCTCGTCCCTCATACTACACCATGATCCAACAAACTCTAAGGACATTATGCTGTTTAGGTAAAAACAAGTAAATGGTTGTATTATTTCTCTATTACTCCCATTTTAAACAAATACCATTTTTCTGCCGTTGAAATGGAACAAATTGGTGAGTTCTTATTTAGTAAATTGCTTCAGAGCAATATGGTCTTTATTAATATTTATTTGATTAATTTCATGACCATTTAACATGTAGACATTGATGAATGTAAGACAAAAAGTCATACGTGCATAAGTGAAAACTATTGTCGCAACACTGATGGACATTATGAATGTTTTTGTCCTCCTGGACAAGTTGGAAAGGGAAACATCGAAGAAGGATGCAAGCCCATCCAACAGGAAAGCCCTGTAAATAAGTATGCTGTAGGTAAGCAATTAAGCATGTAATAGTAATCAGTATCCTTTGTTTTTTCTCTTAATCATGCCGTTTCATGCATTGACTTCTATTTACTATGTAAAAAACAACATTGAAATCGTATGCATTACACAAGTATATAAATACGTGAAATGCCAAAAAAAAAAAAACTATTTTTAAAATATATAGAAAAAAGATAGATTATATTGTTGAAAGCTTATTTTAATAGTAATTAAAAATTTTAAATAAGAAATAAAATACAAACATTCAAAACTTCCAACTTTGAAAAAGTTAATGCAGTTCGATTAATGGATTTTTTAAAAGTAATTTACAAATATCTTATTACACTTAATATTGATTGAAATTTTATTTGATTTAATATAAAATTTCATGATAACACGTCACGAAATGAGAAAGATACATAGTTATGTGAGCAGAATATTTAATGACTCGTCTTGGCCTACTAACCCAGCTGAGTCTTAGTTGATTTTGGGAAGTTTAGATTTGGAAATTTAGATCGTTTAGAGGACAAGTTTAGCTTAGACTGAGTCATTCCAACTCAGCTCAATGTCTTACATTCTTTTAAAATTTTACTTTTTAAACATTTATTATGTATTAATAATAAGATGACCTCTTTTCTGTGCACCAAGAACCTCAGCTGAATAATAATAATAAGACTTTTTTTAAACTTTATGAATAATATTTGCAAAACCTGATATTATAGTTAAATGGATATTATGCATTATAAAATATATCTTAATTTTAGTCTTTCTTCTCTTTAATATTATTATCTAGTAATATATATAATATCAAGATTAATATATTATGTCAACAAATCAGTTTGACTAGATCTTAACCCATATATTATTAGGTTGATTGATTAAGTTAGGTTCAGGTCATAATACATGATCCTGTAAAATTTTCGAATCAGATAGGGATTAAAATAAATCCGTTGTAACATGTTCCATAAATACCCCATAGAGAGTATATATAGAGGTTATGTCATTCAAGAACAAGGACTTGAAATTATCCAAGCAAGTATATTTCTAAGTATATGTGAAATGTGAAAAGTATATAAATTTAAAATCATTATAACACGTTTACTTTTAGTTCTTAAAAAAATTAAAATAGTTTAATAAATGAAATATTATTTTAATGATAATTTACAAATACATCATTACCTTTAATGTTGATTGAAGAAATATGAATATTGATTAAATTAATTATGGAACTAAAAATTAAAGAGAAACAAATAATGATTTAAGATAATATAGGAGCCTCCAAGACGTTTCACAAATGAAGAGCAAGTGAATGCATTAAAAGAAAAGTACATATAGTTGCAATCATGTTTTCAAGAATGATGACTCAATTCAGGTAGATATGTGTAAACCATTGAGTAGTACAGTCTTTTGATATGGTGGATCTTTAATTAAATATGCAGGTGCGTGTATAGCATTTATAGCTCTGCTGATTATTTCCTGGTTATACCTAATATATCATAAAAGGAAACTTATTAATCAAAGAAACAAATTCTTTCTGCAAAATGGGGGTTTCATTTTGCAACAACGACTCTCTACAAAACAAGACTCCTCCCAAATTGCACAAATTTTCACAGCAGAAGAACTAAAGAAGGCCACCAACAACTATGATGAAAAATTGATCATAGGCAACGGAGGTTACGGTACAGTTTTCAAAGGAATCCTTGCAAATAACAAGGTTGTGGCTATCAAAAAGTCCAAAGTAGTGGATCAGAGCCAAGTTGAGCAATTCATCAATGAAGTAGTTATCTTGTCCCAAATCAATCACAGGAATGTGGTAAAGCTCTTGGGATGTTGTTTAGATACTGAAGTCCCATTATTGGTCTATGAATTTGTTAACAATGGTACCCTTTTTCATCATTTGCACAATGGAAATAAGACAAGTAATGTACCTTGGAAGACCCGTTTAAGAATAGCCATAGAAGCAGCAAGAGCACTATCATATTTGCACTCAGATGCCTCCACAACTATTATCCACAGAGATGTCAAGAGTGCCAACATTCTTTTGGATGATAATTACACTGCCAAAGTGTCTGATTTTGGAGCTTCAAGATTGGTTCCAGTTGATCAAGCAGAATTAGCCACATTGGTGCAAGGTACTTTTGGTTACTTAGACCCAGAGTACATGCAAACAAGTCGATTAACCGAAAAGAGTGATGTCTATAGCTTTGGTGTAGTACTTGTAGAGCTACTAACAGGGCAGAAAGCACTCTCATTTCAAAGGTCAGAGGAGGAAAGAAGCATTGCTATGCTTTTTCTCTCTAGCTTGGAAAACGATAATTTCTTTAAAATTCTAGAATCTGGTCTTCTAACTGAAGAAAACAAAGACGAGATCAGGAAAGTTGCTGTTCTTGCAAGCAAGTGCTTGAGTCTTAAAGGGGAAGAGAGGCCTAGCATGAAGGAAGTGTCAATGGAGCTTGAGGGGATAATCGTAATAGAGAAGTACCCATGGAACAATAAAAATCTAGACCTCCAGGAGTCACAATACTTGCACAGCAATAGCAATAGCTACGGAAGTTCTTGGTATGACAGCATGAAGGACTATGTACGAATTGTCCTAGATGTTGCACGCTGATTATGAAATAACATGTCATAAAATTAAATAAACCTAATGAAGTTTAGTGTTTCTTTTTCCCAGTACTTATTTTATCATTAATTCAGTTGCTTTATGATTAATTTGCTTTCCATCATTTGCCAAATATCATGAGTGAGAAGGAATGCACTGAGGAAACCAATAATCGCAAGTTTTTCAATAAATGGTTGGTTATTTGTTTGTTACAGGCAGAAAACACTACTGCAAGCAAAGTACTATTATTTAGTAACAGAGCCAATTAACGAAACGTGACCAGACAGACATTACCATACATAGAAGAAGCACAGCTTGAAGCTTGGTAAGCTCATATATTGGACTTGGCACCCTCCGTGTGCACAACAGATTTCCAAGACGGGTTCCGAGGAAGAAACGTATCCTGCCAACAGCAGAAACTGTTAGAACAGTCATCGGACTTGGTTCATATAAATATCAATGAAAATGTAGTATCTAAGGGTCTGTTCGGTTTCTGGAAATGTTTTCTTTAAAAAATCATTTTCAGTGTTTCAGGTACAAATCTTTGAAAACAGGAATAAGAAAGAAACATAAAACGAGAACTGAGAACATTTCATAAAACCAAACGACCTCCAAGCCTTCATCTCCTTTGTATTCTGGCATCTCAAATTCAAAAACCCTAACCTTATAATTTTAACAATCACTCAAAATTAAAAACAATATTTTGGAAATTAAATCTAAAAGATTCTGTTTAAGGCGGTGGAATAGGGGGGAGAGGGCTTACGGAGACGTAAGAACAGGTGGGGATGATGGATAAGGAATGGGATTGGGCGTGTTGAAAAGCAGCGACGCAGAGGAGGGAAGCCAAGCCGAGGCCTCTCTTAGAAGGGGGAACGAAAGTGTGTACCAAATCCATAACTTTGCCGTTTAGTCTAATAACGTACTCAACGTATGCTTCTTTGTCCTCTGTCTCGAATCTCTGCTGCGCTTCGTTCCACGCTACGTTTATACTGTTGCCACTGCCGCCATCACCATCTGCTTCTGATTTCCCCTTCGTCGCCATTTCCTTCTCTCCACTGCCTCGTCGCCTTGTTCTTTAAGTCTGAAAGAAGTGGAGGAATAAAATAAGATATGTAATGATAAAAAAAACAAATATTAAGAAACGCAATATATGAAATGATAATAAATAAATAAATACAAAAATATATAAGTTGTAAATCATCATCATCATCATTTTCTCATCTTATTTTTTATTATATGATATTATTTATTATATTTGTTAATGTACTTTTTGGTAAATATGACTTTTTTAAGAAAAGATCTCTAAAAAAATTATTAACTATTAATTTAATATTTTAAAGTAGTTATTTAGTAATGTAAATTTGGAACATTAATATTTATGAATAACTTTTTTAAGTTGTCTTGAATTAATAATTAAATAAATAAAAATAAATAAGTTTTTGCTAAACCTCTTTACAATATAAAATATATCATATATAAAATATTAAATATAATTTTCATGAAATATAAATGATTAAACATTTTTTATTATCAATAAATATTTTTTTGTATATTCTAAAAGTGAAAGCAATATAATAAAATAATTTTTATATTAAATATTTATGTAAAGAGTTTTGTAACTCAAAATGTTCTTACCTGTTTCAAATAATATATATAATAAATAATTTTAAGTCAAACAATTCAACTAAATTGATGAATTCACTTTGTAGAATTACACTAATAAATTAAAAAGATATTAAAAATCAAAAGATAAAGTGGCTCGACCACTTATGTTATAATTAATAAAAGAGTAAATTTTTATATTAATTTTGGAAGTATAAGAAAATTTACTTAATTGTGTTTATCAATTATTGATTTTATTAAACGTTGATATTTTTATTTAATAATAATATTTTAGCCAATCTATTAGTAATATTTATTTTAAACATGATTTGTAGCTATAATATTTGTATTAATATAGTATAATTAGCAATTTATAGCCATAATATCTATTACAATTACTCTATCAAAGAGCCTCTATCATGTATATTAAATTGATCAATAGCCAAATTTAAAGCAAAAAAACTCAATCAAAAGCAACCACAATTTCACTAAAGTTCGGTTTGACCAAGTTTGGATAATATAGATAATGTGATTTGCATATAAGTTAATTTGAATTAAAACCATTGTTGGGCTAAACAAATATTTTGAAATTCAAGTAATTTTTTTAGAAAAGGCTAAATAATAATAATAATATTTTCAACATATGCTCACAATATTGTTTAACTTGTCTTAAGCCTTTAATTAAAAATATATCATATGATTAAAAAACAATGTTAAATTAATGATATGTAAAAAAAAAATTACCTAAAAAAGGTCATTTGTTCACAAATGATCCCTAAAAAAATATATGAAATACAAAATAAAAAGAAAAATAACTTAACGTATTATCATTAATTAATAATTACGTTATAAAACTACTTAAACAACTTATTGAGATTAGTACAATTTATATGTTATGTTTATGATGCAACTAGTGGTGCAGCTATAAATGTAGTTGGTAGTATAGTTATAATTATTGTCCCATAATTTGTTTTATTTCTGATTTTCTCCCCCTTAGTTCTTGGTAAGATTTAAATAGATAAAAATATATATATATACGACTGAATTAGTAATATAACGAAAAGTAAGAATTAAGGAAATAGATTAAATAAAATGAGAGTAAAAATGACATATATGCAACAATGTTTTTAAGCATATGTAGTTCATCACTCACATTGAGTTATTTAAATTAGGTTAGTTTAGATTTTAACCAATTTTGTTTATAAATAAGAGTCTCATCCATATCCAAATTTAGAGAGCTTCAATACATGTCTAAGACCCTCCCTTTTTCCCCCTTAAAAAAATTGATGCCACTGTTGAAATTGGAGTAGCTAAGACATCCTTCACCATGCAAGACAGTATAAGGAACCTTAACGAATTACGTTTCCACCATAATAATAAGTCAAATTGTTGTCTCTATCAACAAAAGTTTCAAATAAGTTTTTAACTTATTCTTATTTTTTATCAACCAACTTCTTTTTTTCTTTAAATGTTGCCTAAATGCATTTGTCCTACCAATATAGGTAGAAATTTCAATATTATTAATTACTTCAACAGATACAGTAGTTATTAAAGGAACATGACTAACAAATTAGCATACAAATAAGTTACATTTAAAAAAAAATAGACATTAAAACAAAATATTTGAAAGATATTAATATTAATATTTTTTAATTCTATTAAAACTTTTTAATATTTTAATATATGACTAGTTTTACTAAAATTATTTATATTTTATTTATTTGAATAAATTTTTAAGAGAATAACATAGAAGAAAGATAGTGTAAGTTAATGTAGATAAGATTATCAGCATAAAGACCAAGATTAAATTTAATATATTCATAAAAATTATAAATATATTTAATCTTATCTAAATATTTTCACAAATTATAAAACAATTCAAAGGTAAAGTATGTGTGTATTTATTAACTAAGAGTATTTTTTTTAAAATTATAACCTAATTAAAAAGACAAAAAAAACCGTATTAATGTTACTACTTACCATTCATAATAAATATTATAAAAAATATTATTAATAAAATTGAACCTTAGTCTTATATATGCAATTATTCATATGCCAACCGATATTCAATTCTTCCTTTTTCTTGACTGTTTTTTCTTTTGCTAGTCACAAATTCATTATAATATCAACCATTAATTGACTAATAAGATTCAAAATATAAAACTGTTAACGATAAGAAAAGACGCATTATTGTAATATTTATATGCACAATAATACTCCAAAATCAATACAACATAAGAAAAAGTTTAGAGTTTTTCAAATGAAAAAATAAACATACACTAAATGCAAGGAAAAGTAATACATGATCACTAGTTTTTATCTTATCCATGTGCAACACAACTAAATTTTAAACACTATAATCTATATTGTAATACAAAAATGAAAGAGAACTTAAAAATTAGAGAAACCAAATTTATTAACATTAAAAATGTTTGTCATTAATGGTTATATAATGTATATAAAGTAAGTTTTCTTTTCTCGGTGTACAAGAATTAGTGAAAAAGACAAGCACATATTAGAAAATCAAATTCACAAGCATAGCAGCTCCTACACTCATAGAAAAGTAGAGAAGAAAAGAAACACAACATTAGTAATTCAAAAGGGCCCTAACCTTGAATACAATACAATGTCACACTCAATTCTTGCATGCTATAGTAGTCTAACATGTTAAACTCAACATTACCATGATATTACTTACTCTAGAGTAGTGATAACAGATAAAAAAACATACATACTGTCACAAAGCTCAAAGAATACTAACTAGCAAGTGTACTAGGTAGTTGTAACAAGTAATAAAATTTTTGGGATTAAGTTAAGTCTCAAGTATCGTCCTCAGGGATTGGTTTTCTCAATTATCACTTCACAAATCAACATTTAGTTGAGCCATACAATTGATTGGAGAGTTTGTATTATGTAAAAATAAAAAATAACAAGTATAGACAAATGTAAACTTGAAGTAAAACAAAACCACAAATTTTGTATTGAAATGATATATAGAATGGAGTTAGGAATCACTTCACCAAATTATCAATTGCAACTTAATCATTTTCTGAACTCTTAAGTGTTTCAACTGTTTATAATCAATTTCACTTTTTTTTTTTAATCAAAGGACAATTTCTTAACTCAATAATCCTAATGTTCAACTTAACTACCCTAATTCATTATGTGTAATTCAATTAAACAATGCATTAAGCATTAGAAATTATAAGATTACAAGATTATGAATGCTTATCCCTAAGATATCATTAACCTTGACAATTGATTCAGATATGAGAAACTAACTCAACTTCCATTGATGAAAATTCCTCTAAATTCAATTCAATTGAATGATCAGTCTAATAATTGCATTAAGAATATAATCAAATGCTCAATTCAATTAAAATCTCAAGGTCCAAATCCACAATCAAATCACAAACTCAAATTTGGATTTATAAATTTCTAACCCAAAAAATCTAGAACAACATTACAGATAGAGGAGAGAAAGAAAGAGAAAAAGAAGAAAAGCATAAGAACATTTTCACAATTCAATCCTCCATCTGATTCCTCAAGAATTGAAGCTTGGAAGTTACCCCCAATCTCTCTGTCTCTCTAATTCTCCTAAGAAGTGAAAATGGAATGGAAAAGAAAAAATGACAAAAGATTCCTAATCTCTTATCTGCACATGTATTTATATTTTTCTGCCCTTTTTGACGTTAACACTTTAAATGGTTAAAATGTATACGTAAAAGGTCTTCTAGAATCTTCTGGATTGAGGTAAGCACTTTAAAAGCTTGAAGTGATTCTGCAAAACTTTGTCATATGCGTTAACACTTTGAACGTTTGAAGTGATAATGCGCAAGCTTCCTTTAGCTAGAACTCTCTGAAGTGAACACTTTGAATGCTGAAAGTGGTAACACCCAACTGTTTATGGTGTGCGTGTTAACTTTGAGTGTTTGAAGTGTTAACACGCAGCCTTCTCTTATTATTTAAGCTTGCGCGTAATGACTCTGAGCACTTGAAGTATTAACACGCAACCTTCCTTGTATTTTTTTTGCTGGAGTGTTCACTTTGAACACTCAAAGTGTTAACGCACAAGATCTTCCTGAATTTTCACCTCTAAAGTATTCACTTCGAACACTTAAAATGTACACTTGCACTCCATTCTTTATGAAAACACTCTATAGTTGTCACTTTATGCGCCCAGAGTGATAACTTTCATATTACATAAATTGATTCTTCACTTTTAAGTCTAATTCTTCTACTTTCTTCATTTAATTCTCAGCCTTTTAACCTCCAGTTCAAATATTCTGCATAAATTCAATCTATTTAGTAGACTTATATCAAAATTGGGATAAAATCTAAAACACTAAACTATTTAAAGGACTTTAAACATAAATGCAACTTTTTATGAGATTTTCAATTTTATTAATCACTTTACTACTTATTAACTATTAAAAACTAAGGTAAAATACTAGTAAAATATGGATTTATCACATACCATA